GAGTACTTGATATTATTTCAATTTTCTTTTTCTTTTTTTGAGATGGAGTCTTGCTCTGTCACCCAGGCTGGAGTGCAGTGGCATGATCTCGGCTCACTGCAAGCTCTGCCTCCCAGGTTCACACCATTCTCCTGCCTCAGCCTCCCAAGTAGCTGGAACTACAGGTGTGCACCACTGTGCCCGGCTAATTTTTTGCATTTTTAGTAAAGATGGGGTTTCACCGTGTTAGCCAAGATGGTCTTGATCTCCTGACCTTGTGATCTGCCTGCCTCGGCCTCCCAAAGTGCTGGGATTACAGGTATGAGCCACCGCACCCGGCCTCAATTTTCTTAAATTTATTGAGACTGGTTTAGTGGCCTATCATATGGTCTATCTTGGAGAAAGTTCCGTAAGCTGATGAGTAGAATGCATATTTTGCAATTGTTGGGTAGAATTGCTCTGCAAATATCTGTTAAACCCCTTTGTCCAGGGTATAGTTTAAATCTATTGTTTTTTTGTCGACTTTCTGTCTTGATGACCTGTCGAGTGCTGTCAATGGAGTATTGAAGTACCCCACTCCTATTGTGTTGCTGTCTATCTCATTTCTTAGGTCTAGTAGTAATTGTTTTTTAAGTCCATTGTTAGGTGCCTATATATTTAGGATTGTGATATTTTCCCATTGGACTGGTTCTTTTATCATTGTATAATGTCCTTCTTTGTCTTTGTTAACTGCTGTTGCCTTAAAGTCTGTTTTGTCTGCTGAAAGAATAACTACTGCTACTCACTTTTGGTGTCCATTTGCATGGAATATCTTATTGTACCCCTTTACCTTAAGTTTATATGAGTCCTATGTGTCAGATGGGTCTCCTGAACATGACAGAAACTTGGTTGGTGAATTCTTATACATATTGCCATCCTATATCTTTTAAGTGGACCATTTAGACCATTTACATTCAATGTTAGTATTGAGGTGTGAGGTACTATTCCATTCATGTTGCTATTAGTTGCCTGAAAACCTTGTTTTTTTCATTGTGTTACTGTTATGTAGGTCCTGTAAGATTCATGCTTCAAGGAGGTTCTATTTTTGTGATTTTGAAGATTTGTTTCAATATTTAGAGCTCCTCTTAGCTGTTCTTGTAGTGCTGGCTTGGTAGCGGTGAATTCTCTCTGCATTTGTTTGTCTGGAAAAGGCTATATCTTTCCCTCATTTATGAAACTTAGCTTTGCTGGATACAAAATTCTTGGCTAATAATTGTTTTGTTTAAGGAAGCTAAAAATAGGACCCCAATCCCTTTTAGCTTGCAGAGTTTCTGTTGAAAAATTTGCTATCAATCTGATAGGTTTTCCTTTATAGGTTATCTGATGCATTTTCCTCACAGTTCTTAAAATTATTTCCTTTTTCTTGACTTTAGATAACCTGATGACTATGTGCCTAGGCAATGATCTTTTTGCAATGAATTTCTTAGGTGTTCTTTGAGGTTCTTATATTGGATGTCTAGATCTCTAGCAAGGCTGGGGAAGTTTTCCTTGATTATTCTCTCAAATATGTTTTTCAAACCTTTAGATTTCTCTTCTTCCTTAAGAACACCAGTTATTCTTCGGTTTGAAGATTTAACATAGTTCCAAACTTCTTAGAGGCTTTGTTCATTTTTTAAAGTTCTTTTTCTTGTCTTTGATGGATTGAGTTAGTTTGAAAACCTGTCTTTAAGCTCTGAAGTTCTTTCTTCTGCTTTTTCAATTCTGTTGCAGAGACTTTCCAGTGCATGTTGCATTTCTCTAAGTGTGTCCTTGATTTCCAGAAGTTGTGATTGTTTTTTATTTATGCTCTCCATTTCACTGAAGAAATTTCCTTTCATATTCTGTATCATGTTTTTGACTTCCTTAAGTTGAACTTCACCTTTCTCTGGTGCCTCCTTGATTAGCTTAATAGCTGACCTTCTGAATTATTTTTCTGGCAATTTGGATCTTTCATCTTGGTTTGGATCCATTGTTGGTGAACTGGTATGATCTTCTGGGGATGTTAAAGAATTTTGTTTCGTCATATTACCAGAATTGTTTTTTTGGTTCCTTCTCATTTGGGTAGACTATGTCAGAGGGAAGATCTGGGATTCAAGTGCTGCTGTTCAGATTCTTGTGCCTCACGGGGTGCTCCCTCGATGTGGTTTCCTCTAGAAATGGGGCTTCCTAAGAGCCAAACTTTAGTGATTGTTTTTGCTCTTCTGGGTCTAGCCATCCAGCAGTACTACTGGGCTCCAGGCTGGTACTGGGGAGTGTCTGCAAAGAGTCCTGTGATGTGATCTGTCTTCAGGTCCTGCAGCCATGGGTACCAGCACCTGCTCTGGTGGAGGTAGCAGGGGAGTGAAGTGGACTCTGTGAGGGTCCTTGGTTGTGTTTTTGTTTAGTGCGCTGGTTTTGTTTTGGTTGGTTTCCAGCCAGGAGGTGATCCTTTCAAGAGTGTATCCACGGTAGTCTTATAGGGAGGATGCAAACTTGCCCTAGGAACATCTGATAAAGTACTCAGTTTTTTCAGGCAGTGGGCAGGGTCATAGAGCTCCTAAGAGATTATGACCTTTATCTTTGGCTACCATGGCAGGTAGAGAAAGACCATCAGGTGGGAGCAGGCATAAGAGTGTCTGAGTCCAGCCTCTTTTTGGGCAGGGTTTGCTGTGGCTGCTATGTGGGCTGGGGGCATGGTTCCCAGTCTAATGGAGTTATATTCCCAGGGGGATTATGGCTGCCTCTGCTGAGTCATATAGGTCACCAGAGAAGTAGGGGAAAGCTGGGAGTCACAGGCCTCACCTTGCTCCCATGCAGCCCACAGTCCTAAAGGCCAGTCTCACTTGGGAGGGTTTTGATTATTGATTCAATCTTCACTAATATTGTTCTGTTCAGATTTTCTATTTCTTCAAGAATCAGTGTTGGTAGGTTATACGTTTCTAATCTTGGTCTATTGTATCCACTGCTGTAAGTGAAGCACTTAGAAGAAAGCCTGGTCTATAGTAGGTATTTAGTAAATTTTTGCTGAGTGAATGAACTAAAATATTTTTGGGAGATAGATGTTACTGAGAAGTGTGTGGGAAAATGGAAGGAGGAATATTTTACTCTGTGCTATAAGACATAATATAAATTCCTTAGAAATCTCTGTTGAGTCCGAGTGTGGTGGCTCACGCCTGTAATCCCAGCACTTTGGGAGGCTGAGGCGAGCAGATCACAAGGTCAGGAGTTTGAGACCAGCCTGACCAACATGGTGAAACCCGGTCTGTACTAAAAATAGAAAAAATTAGCCAAGTGTGGTGGCATGCGCCTGTAATCCCAGCTACTCGAGAGGCTAGGGAGGAGAATTGCTTGAACCCGGGAAGCGGATGTTGCAGCGAGCTGAGATTGCGCCATTGCACTCCAGCCTGTGCAACAAAGTGAGACTCCATCTCAAAAAACAAAAAACAAACAAACAAACAAAGGAAATCCCTGTTGAATTCTTTCAAATTCCGCTTGGGCCAGTAATGACCTGATCTCTCTTCTTCTTTGTGGAACTACTTTTAATAGTTCCTTCTATTGCCCCCGAAATGAAGTTCTGGCTCTCAGATCGCCTATATTATTGGGAAACCTGAGCTTTATAAGTAAGCTGAGCACTCATTAACCACTTACTATTTGTCGTTTGGAACCTTACCATTCTTTTACCCCCAATGTTTGCTCAACTAAATAAACTCTTTGTATGAAACAATTTTATAAGTAAATTTACCACTTTAAAATATCTTCAAAGATACAAGACTGAATTCTTCGACAGCAAGGATTATATATTTTCACAGATGGCATCTCTAGCACATTGCTTGGCCACAGAAGCAGTCATTAAATATATTGAATGAATAAATAAATGCTAATCAGGAAAATAATTTACTCACAATTAAGAATGACAAAAGTGGAAATCCTGATATCAAGGCTATAGGCAAGTAGGTTGCTGAAAATGAAGCAGATTGATTAAGACATAAATATATCCAGATTTTTCCCAGAGCACAGTGGATCAGACCAATAATTATTTGAGCAGCCTGTAAGAAAAGAATGTCAGAATCATTTATATGATACATACGTTTTAAGAGAGTTACAAATTAGGTGATGGAAAGGGAAGGGAGGGAGTATAGCTTCCATGTTTCTGAATCTCAGGAGTCTTTGCTACTATTCTTGTTCAGCCCTCAAAATTATCCAAAAACTGGGGAGAAGCCAAGGTGACAGAAGAAGGTAGCAGCCATAAAAGTGCTTAGAATTGCTACATGTAGTTCACACAGGAATTATGCATGAGGGTTTTTAGCAACTAGTAGATGTATGGTTGCTTTCAGGCAAATGAAGGTGTTCTAGTGGCTTGTTTATGGGCCAAGTCAGCAAAATACATGGATCCAGCTCCTTTCCCTGATGTGTTTTTTTTTTACCATACCTATCAATCAGTTAATACAAAAATGGTTTTCTTGTGATAGCAATTTTGATTTTTAACGCCATGGGGTGGGAGGAACACTTGCAATCAGTCCTGCTGAATCCTAAGATTCTGGCCCCTGTGATCTTAGGCACTTTCTTGAGCCATACAATCTCATAGTTTGGTTTTTGAGCTCACTCAAATCCCCAATAATTAGGCTGTATTATGAAAAAATATGTAGCATACTAGGTTTGGTTGGGGAAAAAGAGTAGATAGTGGTCCAAAATATCAACTTCCTTGAGATAAAAGTAGAGAAAGAGCATCGAGAGCATCGTGCTATGAGATGATCAATGTCCACAAAGCCCTATGATCTAGATTATCTCTTGACTATGACCCTGACCTTGTCATCTCCTTTAGGACCCAGTCTCAGCTTTATTTCAAACTCTTTATAGATATACACAGACAAAGGGAAAATCACAGCAGTAGGATTGCTGGGATTCAGTTTATCAACTCTTTCCCATTGGGTAACTGAGATAGAGGAATTGATGTCTCTTTCCTTAAATATTTGGGATCTGAAACACCAAAATCATTTATCCACTCAAGTAGCACTGAATCTTACCCCCAACATTCTGATTTCTTCTTTCAACACAATGTGAGATGATGGCATGTTATCCAAAATATGGTGTAGACATTAGAAAGGATGAATGGAATGTATCTCTAAAGGCAACATAGAAAAAATAAACATAGTGATTTTAAAAACAGTGATCTCAGATAAGCACTTAAAAGTCATTGAGAAACCTATCATTGTTGTCTTTAATTTTTAAATAATGAAACAGTTCCCTGAAATAGGTATTTAAAAATTAATCAATTGATAAGCTCTCTTGGACATAGCTAACCTCTTGGCAATTCTAATTGTCCTGTTAGATTTTATACAGTTTTACCAATTTTAAATGACACCCTGTGGGTCCTTAGGATTCTAAGATGCAGACACCATAATTTAATATGGCTTGTTTAAGCAAAATAGAACATGAGTGAGCTCACATAATCACTGGGAAGGGCAGGATTTTCAAACAGTGCCCTGAGACAACTGGCTGATCTAAACTGAGGAGGAAGTGCTCTTGCCATTTCCTGCCCCAGAACTCTGTTGTAGAACTGGCATCATGAGAAAACCTTCCCTGTCTCCTGGGCCATCGTCTGTCCAACTGATGACTACTGTAGGGTCTCTTTTGTTGTTCTCCCCTAAATCAAACTTCAGTGCAAGAATATGTAATTGGCAGAACCTAGATCAAATGCCTGCACTTTGATTTCAAGGGAGGCAAGGGAATATCGTTTTTTGGATTCTATTTTGGCAAAGGTAGCTTTTACAACTTAGTGACCAAGAAAAGGTAGGGAAGATGTTTGACACATGGCAGCCATGAATGTTTAAAAGATGGCCGCCATACATTATCTCTATGACTTTGCTATTGTGGACACCATTCTGGGTATGTGGCCAACTCACCTCAGTTTCATGCTTGTCGTCTGTAGGAATTATTCCCTTATTGCACTAACTGGAAGAGAGGTGGGGAGTCTGTCTCAGGTTGGATCCATCAGTGTCACTTTCCCAGGAATTGTGTATTTAGAACTTAGATATTATAATGTTAGTCTGGGTTTGCCTCTAGATAAGATTATATAAACTCTTGAAATGAAGAACATTAATGTGTTCTACCATATGAGCTGAGAAGACATCCAGAAAAATCGAAAATAAAAAATAGACCAAGAGAACTACTGGAGTTCCTAATAACTTTCAATTTCCTAGTTATAGTCCTTTTCTGAAACTGAGATGTCTTCCTGCCCTTGGAAAATACATGTGTCTTTGTTTTGCTTGAGCTAGCAAGAGCTGTTTTCTGTTACTCGCAGCCAAAGTATTTTTAAATTATTGCTTTGTCTTTCTTATAACTCTTGCCCTACGGCTTTGAGAATTTACTCTTTAGATTTTACAATATCTGATGGATCTTCGTTCTTCACCTAGTTTAGATTTTTTCTCAATATTTTGCCAATAGCCAACTCTGAAGTCTAAGATCTTGGTTTCAAAATCTTTGCTTACGTTATTTTTCTTTCTAATTTACATCAACCATTAATTCTTAAGGATCAGTTACCAAATAGATGTACCAATGACACATGAAACTGAGAAAATGGAGCATAGTATTGTGAAACAAGCGGATATAGACTTGAGTTCAAATCTTGTCTAGATTGACTGCTAATTGTATAATTGGTACAACTACTTTTAGACTAATAACAGTTGTCTATATTAATTACTAATGTTAAGTTCTACATAATATTTCAGAGAATTAGTTTTCTATTCCCACAGAGTTGTTTTGGGAAGCAAATAATAGGAACTGGCACAAAGTCAAATGCCAATAATGCTTTTTTCCTGTTTCCCTTCAACCTCTCTCCAGTTACTTGTATCAGATTCCTGATTCCCCTATAGTTTTGGACACTGCTTTTGGTTTCTTTTCCAGATTGTATTAGAAACAACCTCACTGGTTATTTGTGAGTGGCAAGCCACCCAGGTGCCGAGGCAAGAGACTGAAGGCACAAGCTGTTTCAGTATAATAAACAAAATACTTAAAATAAGAATAGTTGTATTAGACATAGAATATAGATATGATTATCTATGAATATTCCTAATCATTAGTTTATAGCATTATTCTTTATTCTAATATCGTAATAATATTTGTTCTACAATTATAACCTAGGAAAAACCAGGCTATACAGTGACGGGAGCTGAAGGTACACGGTGAGAAGTGACCAGCAGTGTGAGCTCTCTGTCATGCCCGAATAGGGCCACTAGAGGGCTCCCTGGTCTAGCGGTAATGCCAGTGCCTGGGCAGGCACCCATTACTTAGCAGACCTTGGTCTAGAGGTAGCGCCAGTGCCTCTGAAAGCACCCGTTACTTAGACCAGGAAAGGGAGTCTCCCTTTCCCGGGGGGAGTTAGAGAAGACACTGCTCCACCACCTCTTATGGAAGGCCCGCCCGCATCGTCATGACGTCAGGCCCGCCCGCAGCCATGCGGAGGCCTAACCGTCTCCCTGTGATGCTGTGCTTTAGCCGTCACGCTCCTGGTCCACTTTCATGTTCCGCCCTGTACACCTGGCTCTGCCTTCTAGATAGCAGTAGCAGAATTAGTGTAAGTATTAAAGTCTTTGATCTTTCTGAGAAGAGCATAGAAGAAATAATGACGTAAGCTGTGCCCTCTCTCTCTGCCTTGGCTGCCTAAAAGGGAAAGGCCCCCTGTCTGGTGGACACGTGACTCACGTGACCTTGTCAATCACTGGAGATGACTCACACTCCTTACCCTGCCCCTTTTGCCTTGTATACAGTAACTAGCAGCGCGGTCACGCATTCGGGGCCACTACCAGTCTCCGCACCTTGGTCGTAGTGGTCCCCGGGGCCCAGCTGTCTTTTCTTCTCTCTGTCTTGTGTCTTTATTTCTACAACCTCTTGTCTCCGCACACGAAGAGAAAAACCCACAGGCCCTGTAGGGCTGGACCCTACTGTTATTTCACACCATTCCTTTGAATTCCCTTGAGTTACAATTTGCTGCAAAGTAGCAGAATATGAAACAACTCAATCACCACGGCAAAGGAACCTAAAAGCTTAAATCCAGCCTCTATAACATGACCACAGTGGCATTTCCAAAACAGAAATCACGTGTAGAAATCACTTGTTTAAATCATTCTACCACAAAGATACATGCACTTGTATGTTCATTGCCATATGTGCTATTCACAACGGCAAAGACATGGACTCAACCTAAATACCCATCAAAGCGGACTAGATAAAGAAAATGTGACACATATGCACTGTGGAATACTACATGGCCATAAAAAAGAACAAAATCATGTCCTTTGCAGCAACATGAATGGAGCTGGAAGTCATTATCCTAAGTAAATTAATGCAGGAACAGAAAACCAAACACTGCATGTTCTTACTTATGTGAGCTAAACATTGAGTACACAGGAACATGAAGAAGGGAACAGCAGACACTAGGCCCTATGTGATGGTGGATGGCGGGAGGAGGTGAAGATAGGAAATCTACCTATTACGCTGGGGGCGGTGGATCACTCCTGTAATCCCAGCACTTTGGGCGACCAAGACAGGCAAACCACGAGGACAGGAGTTCAAGAGCAGCTTGGCCAACATGGTGAAACCGTGTCTCTACTAAAAATACAAAAAATTAGTTGGGCATGGTGACAGGCACCTATAATCCCAGCACTTGGGAGGCTGAGGCCAGAGAATCGTTTGAACCTGGGAGGCGAAGGTTGTAGTGAGCTGAGATTGCACCACTGCACTCCAGCTGGGATGACATGTCTCAAAAAAAAAAAAAAAAAAAAAGAAAGAAATCTACCTTTCAAGTACTACAAGTACTATGCTTATTAGCTGGGTAATAAAATTATCTGTACACTAAACCCCTATGACATGCAGTTTATCCATGTAACAAACCTGGACATGTACCCCTTGAACTTAAAACAAAAGTTGGAAAGGAAAAAAAAATCTTTCAATGACTCCTCGTTCTCTTCAGGTCACAGTACACATTTCTTTGTGTGGCACATTGGAGCCAGGTATATTTGGCCTACACTTCTTTTTCCCACACAGCACTCCATCCATTCCTGACTGCTGACATTTCCACTACTGTGTGATATTTAAGCACCTTATGGTTTTTAAGTGCCTTCCCATATACATCATCGCTGCTGCTAAATCTCACAGTGTCATAGTATCTGGCTCTAGCAATGAGTTTGCACATTGTTGGAATACAATAATTGCTGGGAGAATCCTTTCTACCCGTTTTGGGTATCTTGTGCCTTGAGTTTTGCACTAGAGATTATATAAACAGAAACTCATATTTTGGATGATAAGAAAGGTTGATTTCCAAGAACAGCGATTTAAGAGTTTCCCTGATTGTGTATTCCCTTTCCTGGCTGATGTGTTACCAGGAAATGCATGATGTGTTACCACATTAGGTATAGATGGGTAGATTTGTTTATGCCAGTTGTGCAACATGTTTGGGAAGTTCGGCCTTAGAGCATAGGTTCTCTGGCATTTATTGAATTAGTTTTGGGCAGCCTTGGAAGGTTACCCCAAAGACACATACTGTCTTTCTCCATAGCAGATGAACCCAAGGAGATAGAACAGACTGGACTGAGACATGTGGCAGGTACTAAAAAGTCTTGAGAAGGCAAACTTCAGTTTCAATGTTAAGGATCACATTGAATTTATACGTGCAGACAATATGAATTTCAGGAGGTGATTCTCAGAAGAGCCACTTTTCACACGAGGACTCTGTGGCCTGCTCCAGAAAAGCAGCAGTGGAATCTCTTATATAATCCTGGTTGAGGGTTCTCCCTCCTAAAGCTTTGTAGGCCAGTCGGGAAAGGGAATACAAAATCAGGGAAACTCTTGAGTCACTGTTCTTGGAAATCCACCATTCCTATCATCCAAAATATGAGTTTCTGTTTATATAATCTCTAGTGCAAAACCCAAGGCACATCTCCTAAGCTAAAAAGGATATAGAAATACGGTAAAAGATGGAAAGTAAGAGTCATTCTTGCCACAACCATGACCCTGGGATCCCCAGTTCACTACACTATCTCCATATTCTCCTCCTGTCAATTAGCCAATTTATTTTTACATGAGAGGATGCTGGGTGTGTCAACTAGGTCACTTACTGAAAACACACATTGGAAGAAAAAATATTGAAATAACTACGTGAAAAGTGCCACAATGTATTAATTGAGGCTCTTTCCAACTGGAAGTGGTTTGGAAAACACTATGACTATGGGGTGGTGGGGAACATCTGACCCTCAGCAGGTGCTAGTTTTATTCCCAGCGCCAGTGAAAATCCAACCAGGGATCCCTCCACTCACGCCTGGGCCCAGAGAGTGTGATCTGGCATTCAACTTCCTCAGTGCGGGGCCTGGCAGCCCCGGGAGCCCGGTGGGTGCTTCCTCGGTGGCGCCCCTCACCTCGCCTCGCGGGATTCTAACGTCCAAGAGCGCGGCTGTGCGAGAGACCCGCGCGGACACCTGAGGCGCGGTGGGGCTCCCGTGGCTCCGAGGAGCCTGCAGGTTCCCAAGACGAGGGTGGGGTAGGGGCTGACAACGATGCCGCCCTTTCCTGGCTGTGTGGGCTTTATCCTCTGTCCTTGGGCCTGGCACGCCCAGGGGGAAGAGGCTGTGCTTGACGTGTCAGCGGGCTGATCACGTGGGGGCCTCACTGCTAACCCCAGACACACCCCCGCTTAGAAGCAGTAACATTGTCAGAAGCTCCTTGCGGCTAAGAATCCTCTGCAAGATGTGGTGGATACAGCACTGCACTTGACTCCTTCGGTCCTCAGTTTATTCTCTGGTAGAGTGGAGATGATACCTGCTCAGGTACCTCATATGCTCATGCTGCAGAACTTTGAAAACCAAAGATGTTTTACAAATATATTCCACTGCGATGACAAACATATTCCACTGCAATAAGCAGGGTGCATATATGTCCTTCAAGCTGAACCTGACAGTTTAAGTTGTATTCTCAGTGTTTAACAACTATCCTCAACACATAGTAGGAACAGATGAATGATTGCAAGGTTTTGTCTAACTTATTAAAGTGTTAGCATCAGCTGGCTAATTATGAGTAATAGATGACAGTCATGTTTGTTGAACTCTTTTATGTTTGGCGTTTTTATGATAAATTAATTCAGCAAATTTCCACTTGGTGCCAGTATGTGCTAGGCATTGTTCACAAGGCTGGGGATACAGTAGTGAATAAAACAGATGAGATTCTAATAAGAATAAGGAAGCTAATAATAAATAAGATTCATAAGGAAAATTTATAGCATGTTAAGAATAATGAGAGCTAAGGAGAATGATAAAGTATGAAAGGGAGGTGGGGTCAATGGAAATGTAAATGAGGGGAGTCAGGAAAGTCCTCATTATAAAAAAACTTGCACACAAATGTTCACAGGAGCATTCCTATATATTCCTAATAGCCAAAAGTGAAAACAACCCAAATCCCTATCAACTAATGAATGAACAAATAATATTTGGTATATCCATATAATGTATTATTTGACAATGAAACACAACAAAGTTCTAGTTTATGCTACAGCATGAGTAAGCCTTGAAATCATTATGGTAAGTGAAAGAAGCAAGTCACAAAAGACATTCATATAAAATAGCCCCAGTAGGCAAATCCACAGAGACAAAAAGTAGACCAGTGGTTTGCTAATACTGAGGTAAGTGGTGGAGAATAAGAATTACTCTTAATGGGTTTGGGTCCAAAATTAGGTGCTGTTATTTACACAACTCTGTGAATATACTAAAAGCCACTAAACTATACACTTTAAATGGGCAAATTTTATAATATTTGAATTATATCTCAATGAAACTGTTATAAAAATGAAAGGCAAGATGTATGTTTTATCTCTTTACTTATGAAATTTTGAAATAATGAACACCCTACAAGGGTGACTATGATTCTTTTTCTTTTTTTATGGGGGAGGGAGAGATTGGCCTTTTCAATTTTTATGTATTTGCTTTGTTGACCAGTGCGTGATCCATATAGTGTCACTGACTTCCTTTCCCTAGAATATAAGCTCCCTGAAGGCAGGATCTTGTCTCTTTTGTTTAAATCTGTTCCCAGAAGCAAGCATTATGCCTGGTGCAAAGTAGATTGTCAAAAAAGTAGTTTATGATGAATGTATGGATGAATGGAGGAGCTACCCTATATTTATATTAACAGCTCATTCTTTCCAGTATCTCAATGGTGATGTCCTGCTTTGTGATAAAAAACAAATATCTTTCAGATCTGACATAGCATCCCTATCTAGAGCTATTCTTTGTGTTAAACTAGCTCAGGCTCTAAAGCTGGGACCTTGTTCAAGGATGCATGTGAATGGAGTTAAAGATTGGCGCTGCAATGGCACCTGATCTCCACTTGCAGGGCAGACTTCCTTGGTGCTGGGTTGATCAGTTAGGAGGAAGGAGCCTCAATTTCTAATTGTACTGTTCAGAGGGGACTCATCGTCTATTTCATTTTCCCAGAGGAGCTGTTATTGAGCAGTCTGTCCTTTTGAACAGGGTACTCCTGTCTAGTTTGCACAACGGCATCTTACGTGTTAGTAGCCCCTTTTCAGATTATTGGCCCCCGATCTCGACATTTCTTTCAAAATTTCTGGCATCATATCCTTCCTCATTCAGCCTGGATCCCACAGATCCAACTAATTATCTTCTTATTAAACCCCACAAATGCAAGTTTACCACCTTGTAATGCTACCTTTTCTGTGTAGGATATTTTAGGGAAACTCACAATGGCATGGATAGACACCCAACAAAGATGTCATTTGAAAGTCCAGTGTCTTCGTCTGTGCTTCTAATTAAATTGTTGAGTATAATTTGGCCAATTTTTCCTCTGATTCCTGGCAACTCTTAATGCAAACAAGGACTTTATTCATTACCACCCCTCACTCCTAAATGACTTCCTTGTCAATATTTTCAAAGGAAAGACAAAGGCTCTCATGTTCTTTCTTATCCTCCTCATATGGAGGAATGGATAAAGAACATTTACATTAAAGCTATTGATTCACTATTTTCTTACTTGATCAGAATTAGGTATCTTTCCTGTGTTCTAAAGTGTAATCTGTTCCTGTGCTACTAATCTCATTTCCTTCAAAGGGCTTATAAACCTTAATCCATCAATTATCTCTTTCTCCCCAGTATATTCAAATATTACTCCCTGCTTCGTATTTCTTCTCAACCCATACATTTATACAAGTCTCTCTCACAGTTGTGGTTTCTAGTTCATGAAGGTAGACCAAACAGATGCTACTTATGCCTCATATGAACTCCAATTCCAAGGAGCACCCCTACAAAAAAAATTCCATTGCCACATTGAAAAATAAGAAGCATCTCTCTTGGTGAGCCAGAATCTGTGAATTCCGGAGAGACCAAGAGTATGCAGACTAGACTGAAGAAAAAGTACACAATAATAAAGGACCTGCAACAGAAGACGGTTCTAAATGGTGGGATATTTTGCATTTCATAAACAAATGGCATATACATAAATAACACAGATACTCTAATCTTGAATTTATATCCCCCCAAATTACTTAAGGGGCAAGATGGGGGGACCCAGTTGCCCATTCCTGGGACAGCGAATGTATAAATGTGCTGGGTGCATGGCACAGACTTTTAGGCAGCATTTAAAATCAACTGATAGAGGCACTGACAGCAACATGGATAGATCTTTAAAACTTACTGTTGGGAGGAGCAAAATTTGTGTATGTAATTTATCAGTGTGTATGATCTTCATGGATTCCAAATACATTCCCACAATAGAATGCCATACATTTTTGGGGAGATACTGACAAATAAAATATCCATGTTTTATAAAGTGGAACAATTGCTGATGGAGGGAGGGAAGGGGGAGTGGAGTATGGACATCAAAGAAAATTTTAAAAGTAGGAAGCATCCTTATAGACATCCTTATAGACACAACAAAACATTTCTAAGATAATTTACTTAAAATTTGAGTGTGATAAGCCACAGTGTAAAATTATAGGCAAAAATACGTAATGTTTTGGGAGCTGGACTTTCTAGACAAAATAAATCCAGTAGCTATTAATTCATGTAGTCTCAATAACATAAAGATATGGCTAATTGTAATATACCTTCTTCACTATATGTAAGCTATGCCTGTTTTAATAATATCCAGTGAGAAAGAAATAATTAGAAGTAATATTTAGAGCTAATCAGCAAAGAAGCCTTCACAAGTAATGGGATTATTTATCATTTATGTGAAGTCTCCTTCTCACAATGAAATAATTTTATCGAGTTAGCATTTATTACATCATTATCAATTTTAGATATAGATTCTACTCTAGAAACATGTGCCCATTCATAGAATTTCTCTTACATGGAAGAATCTCTTAATTCAGGCTGACCATATTCAAACTGAGATAAATTCATGCACAGTTCCCCACATAGACAAAAATAACCACGTTCATCAATTTTAATTTTTATTAATGAAATAGGGGAAAGAGAATACTGAGATGGATTTAATGAAATTACATTTTCCAAGAAGCCTCTTGAACAGAATGAAGTTCTTCATTGGTCACTAAACTTTCGTCCTTGACTGAGCTCACCGATGGTTTCTTTAATATGTAGAAAAAGGATGTCCTTCTGCCATGAACCTGAGGTTAAGGTAGATATCAGTACATTGATCATTAATACACTCTAAAATAAAGAACTATAAAATCTGGGGTAGAATTTTGGAAATAATTCTAATAGAAGTATTCTCATCATTGAGATTTTTATTTTATTTATTTATTTTTTAGAGATGACGTCTCTATCTGTCACCCAGCCTGGAGTGCAGTGGCACTATCATCGCTCACTGTAACCCTGAATTCCTGGGCTCAAGCCCTCCTTCCACCTTCCCCTCCTAACTAGCTATAGGACTGCAGGTATGTGCCACCACTCCTGGGTAATTTTTTCTATTTTATTTTATTTTATTTTATTTGAGATGGGGTCTCACTGTGTTGCCCAGGCTGGTCTCAAAATCCTGAGCTCAAGCAATTCCCCTGCCTTAGCCTCTCAAAGTGCTGAAATTATGGGTGTGAACCACCCCACCAGGCGAGATTTTTAAATTAAACCACGTGCTTTTGATACTTTTTAGTTTCTTTCTTTGTTCTCTCTCCCTTTCTCCCTGGTTTCCATCCTCCCTTCTCTTTTGTTTCTATAGATTGAAAGCCAAAGACAATGACATATGACAAGACAGTCCCCAAGACAATGACTCATCATAAAGGACATACTGTTTTCTACTCAAACTTGATTGCATTATTAAGTATAGCATTGAATACCTATCAGTTTAAATTCTATTTAGTTGGAGTAGAAATCTATATGTCCTTATATACCCAATCCATGTTTGTTCTCTTTTCACTTTATTCAGAGAAGAATTAAGAATAAGACCTGTGTGTGTGTGTGTGTGTGTGTGTGTGTGG